CAATCTAAAAAAAAATCAGAATGAAGATTGTAATGAAAATGTGGTAGATATGTATCTATGCATGCCTGTTGCCTGGGTGCGCTGTTAGTCTAACTGGCTGTCATGCACCTAACAGTGCAAGGCAGTGTGCAGATATGTGTGTGTGTTGTGTGTGCATGTACATGTGCATGTGAAAGACAGAGATGCCCAAACTATTTAATTATTTTCTAGTGTACTAAGATGAGCAAGCCTTTATTCACCAAGTTCTTGCCTTTTTTTTAAAATTCCAATTGGAATTTCTTTGCATTTTAGGATTAGACCAAAACTTTATTAATTTATTACTATATGTTCATTTAAATCCATGGGAAAACAGTTGGGCTTTGCTTCATTATAGTTGTTTTCATTCTGATTTTATTAGAAAATAATTTGCACCCTTGTTTTCAAATTGTTTCACAAAAACAATTCCATGTTTCAGCAATTCATCCAATAGTATCAAACAGCAGCAAGGCCAAAATTAAATTATCCTTTTGATTGCAATACATTTACCTGAGCCTTCATCTTGTTTTCATGCTCTTGGAGACAAGATTCAAGACCCCTACATTTTCTCTTCTTCAGTATGTGACTGGCCTTTCAAGTGTCACCTATAATTTCATATGAAGTGTAATTTCCATTGGCATGTATTTGCTATAAAATGCAGATTACTAGAATTATGAGGGACCCATCAGAATCCCCCTTTTATCCCCTTTTGTCCAGTGCCAATTCTTCTTTTTTAAATGCTGTTAAAAAGCAAATTAAAGGTAACTAGTTGAACAAAAAACACAGAAGAAAGTTTGGCACACTACTATATATTCTAAAACAGCCATGTGGTCACTGCATTGGTTAAAGAAGACCAAGTTCCATGTCTGTTGTTCTTGAATAAAAAGAATGGAACTGTTGACCCCTACATGTGAATAAACTGTCACACATTGAATAGAATAGGAAACACAGTTGTTTTGCTGCAGGTAACTTCAGAAATCTTTCCTGTTCACCTAAGAGCAACTGAATGCCAAGAAACTGCCATACGTTCATGTGAGAATTGGCCCTACATTCATTGATTGGTTCAGAAGCACATGGATAATTTACAGAGCTACAGAAATGTCAGCCTCACGAGGTAGACCAATCATCTCCACAAGAAATGTAAAACTACTTTTACTGAGATTGGCTATAATAACAGAATCTCATGAGTCTGATTGTGCTGTATCTCTTCCCCTTCTTGTAGTTCAGTGAATTAGGGAGGTGTCTGCTTGATTTGCTTCCAAATATTATCTTGTTGTGGACTTACAAATGCTTCAGCCCCTTTTGTCTAGGCAACAGCTCCTGTATATCTCCATCAAGGCCATCTTCCTTACTCCCTACAAGAAAGCAACACAAACCCTGTGTTGCATGCCTGTATTTTTTTTAAGAATTTGTGCTCATTGGTGGATTTCATGCAGAATTTGTAAGAAAACCAACAACCTCCAGGGATTTAAAGCTTTTAAAAACTCTGCTTCTGGCTATTTTTCTCCCTACCCCCCCCCTTCCCTTCCCATATTCAGTTGATGAAAAACCACAAAGTCTTTCCTTAGTTTTCGTTGCATACCAGGAAATCCACATCATAACTGGAGGCACTGCTGTGGTTTTTATGTACATGGGGAGATTTAGGGTGTGGGGGTGTTTTTAGTTGTCACATTCAATCCAAATCCAAATCCCAGGGTTCGATATTGTTACTTTTCCTGTTATGATCATTATGATGATAAAAATACAGGGAATCCTGCATGGAAAATTCTTTCTCCGGTCTTTGGGAGTTGTGTTTGAATACCTAGCAACAGCAAAACGTGGATTGGCTTGGAACTACTGTACATACAAGGTGGAGAACAGCCACAAAGCCATACTATTTAGTACTATATTTCTAAAAGTATGGATCCATAGATCTATCAGTTTATTGCTGGTATGGCTGTTGATATATTATTATTTTTGTTGCTGCTATTATTATTTGTGCTACTGTTTGATTGATTGCTCCAAACTACTGTGGGCATGTTTCAGCCAAAGAAGAATTTCAAGTGAGAGGACCAAATGTGAGATTCATCCAAACTGAAAGTGTTCAAATTCGTTGGCTGTATCATGCTGGATTTTACCATCTGTTTTACTTCCATTTTACAAACATATTTGAATTAATTCTCATTGATACAGAAGCAATGAATCAGAGAAGGGAGTTGACCGAGAGCTACATAATCACAGGTTTTTAGGTGCCGCTCAGAAAACAGTTTGCTTCTGACTAGTTAAGGGAACTGGTATTTGGCAGACTTACCTATGCCCAAAGTGTTATGCAGGAAACTGCATGAACCAGAGTTCCAGCATTGCTTTGAATCCATCTGAATGTGATTCTGCCAGGAAACTTGTTAAAGCACTCTTGTCTTTTTTTAGGGTTCCATGCACAGCCAAAAACAGTGGTGCTGCTTTAAGTGTCATGCTGAGCTGATTTTAATGAATGGACTGTTTACAGCAGTGGCATTGTTAATGATTTAAGGAATGGTAGGTGTTGTATGAGTTCCAAAGTAGTTCTGAGTGATTTTCAAGGCATGCTTGACCTTAGTGTTGTTTGGGAAAAGTGGTCAAGAAGAAGGCTTTGTCCCTGTCAAAATATTATAATCCAGGTTGTCCACCACAGCCAGATAATGAGAAATTTAAGAAACAGTATCTATTACTTGTAGAATTTGCTCACTGTACCAGTGGAAGCTGATGAGGCAGGAACCAGTGGTTCCCAGTTTCGACAGAACCATTATAGAAACACTGAGATGGCCCAAAATTCAAGGCCAAGAAGAGAGTGGCAAAATTTCCATTTAGTGTTACCTCGGGTTACGAACGCCTCTGCTTACGAATTTTTTGGGTTACGACCAGCTCCGGCCCCAAAATTTACCTCGGGTTGCAAACTCCGCCTTGGGTTACGAACCGGATCTGTGGCCATTTTCCCTGCTGCCACGCGGTCGCGGCTTCCTGTGGGCGAGATCGTGGGAGCAAGGAGGCATTCCGTGAGGCTTGTGGTGTGTTTTGTGGCGTTTTGGAAGGTTTTTGGTGTGCTTGTCAGCATGGCAATTTGATTTCCAGAGGGTTATGCAGTGCAGGAAAAAACAACTGACTTTAGACAGGTTTTTCCCCAGAACTGAGCCTGCAGCTAAGAGGCAAAGAAGAGAGATCTTTGAAGGAGATCTCCCCGATGTCCTTTTGGAGGGGGACTCTCCCTCCAAACAATAACTGCCTCCCCACCCCATTCTCCCTCTTCATACTGTGCTGTACTGTACTTTTTTTCATGTTTTTGTGGTTTACAAATAAAATGCATATGTTTCAGAACGGATTAACCATCTTTACATTGAACCTTATGGGGGAAATTTGCCTCGGGTTGTGACCAAATTTGGAGGGCGGATTAACCATATTTACATTGAACCTTATGGGGAAATTTGCCTCGGGGTGCGACCAAATTCGGAGGGCGGAACAGATTAACCGTATTTACATTGAACCTTATGGGAAAATTTGCCTTGGGTTGCGGCCAGCTCGAGATGCGATCAGAGTCACGGAACGGATTAAGTTCGTAACCCAAGGTACCACTGTATTCAAAAAGGCAGCAAGAAAAGGATTTAAACTCCAGAGTAGGTAGATTATAAATAGAGATGAAGATGGTTTATTTCTGTTCTGCAGGAAGCATATACTTTTTTGTAAGTATGATTTTTAATAAAGCAACTTATCCAGATGTGTAGACTCTATGAGTTTCTGCTGCAAGTCCCCAGGTATGGCATTAGGTGTCTAGTGAGTCAAATATATTGCAGACTTGGTGTGAAGCTTGACACTACACAAAATGTGATTTGGGTGATATCCAAAGGGGAGTAGGTACATTCATGGAGAATGAGGCTATGAATCATCAGTAGTATACATATTAGAAATTGATATTCTGACATTAGTACTATTGGCTGGGAAACAGGAGCCCAATGACCATCTACTATGCTTGTGTATTCTCTGTGACCTTCCCATTGGCATATGACTCATTACTATGGGAACCGTAGTGGATTAGATGGACTTTTAGTCAAATCTAGCTTAACTTTTTTCTAGTTCTGCTTACTCCAGGTAAGAAAGAAGGCTGGGATTGCCCAAGTGAATCATTGGAAGCTACAGGAGGATATCAGTGTTGCAGTCTAAGGCCATATAGCCCAGGGGTCTTCTCAAATTATGGAAAATGCAGCAAGCACACCCAGAATCAGTACCCAGGATGGCAGGGATATGCTAGAGTCTACCAGAGCTGATGCTGATTCCTGCAGCATCTTAATTTAAAAAAAACAAAAAAACTAATCTGGTATCGCCAGCTTGGCCTGTATATAGTTACTAACGGTTACTGTATATATTGTTTAAAAATATACTTTCTTACAACCAAGTGAAACTTATTATATATAGTTGTGCTTCACAACTATACAATTGTACAAAGGCTCCTCATAACGGCACTACAGGCATTCCTCTGGGCGTCTGCTGCAGGCTGGCAAAAATGGAGTATTTCAAATAAGAGATTAGCTACTTTGTAGCTCAGTCTCTTGATCACGTTGTGCTACCAGAATCTTTCTTCCAAACACAGCAATTAATTTGTGGCACACTAGTTATCAACAAGCAGGTTTTAATTAGTTGCAAGGGAGGGAAAAGACTTTAAAGTGAGGATAAGCCTTTTATTATACTTGATCTCTTGCTTCCTTTGTGAATATTTCTATGCAGTCAAATTTTGAGCACGGTGACAGATTATTAAAAAATAAAACATATTTAGCTGTTGTTGTTCAGTCGTTAAGTCGTGTCCGACTCTTCGTGACCCCATGAACCATATCATGCCAGGCCTTCCTGTCCTTCACTGCCCCCCTGATTTTGCTCAGTTTCATGCTCAATTTAGCTGAATACTCCAGTAAAAATATAGAGTACAGCCGATGGAGGAAAAGACTGCACAAGGTTGACAACCTCACTGATTCTGGCAAGAGGAACTTGAAAGGTAAGTATCCTTATATCATTTATACATTTCCATCTTTTTATCTGCACACATCCATACACAGTATAAAAGCTGGAGATGTGATGAGATTGCTTGTCCCTGAAACTGTCAGACTAGAGCAATGACTAAGAGGATGTGATTTCTCTCTCTCTCTCTCTCTCTCTCTCAAAAGACTACCCGATGATCAAAGCTGCTAACCTGGATCTAGCAGGTTGGATGCTGCTCCCTATGGTGGGCAGCTAGTTGCACCTGTCATTTGTTTTCCAGTGAATGGTTGTTTGAATCCTGTGCCAGCCAGATTGCATGCTATGCCCACTACCTGTCAAATTCCATTTCTAGATGTTATGTCTTCTGCCATCTTGCTTAAACTGGGCTACATCCACAGAAATGCTATTCCCCCACTGACAAGACTGAAAGTGATGGAGTTAACTTTCAGCTCTTCATAATCTCATGTTCTTTAACACACATCACAACACGTATCTTTAGGGGTTCAGGAACACACAGGACTTGGTTGTCCAGGAGCTATACATCAGAGACAGTGAAAGACAGGCAGTGAAAGGTTTTCATTTCAGAGAAGTCAAGGATTTTCTAGAAAACCCTTTTCTTCATATTCCTCAACTGTCAAACTTGTGTGACAAGGAAGCTGGTAGGTAGGCAACTGGGTATTCTAATAGAACCCATTTCTATTCTGCATAAAAGTTCTACAGTAAAGGCAGTGATGGCATTCTTGAGATATGTTCTCCTCCTTCACTTGACATGTTCAGTAAAATGTGCACAACTATAAGCTCCCCATTTTGACTTCTGCACATTGAGAAATATGTTAAATATCACAAAATCATGTTGCTGCTTTCAAGCCTATTGCTTAGAACTCTAAAATTTAGACTCAGAGTCAAATGATGAAAAAAACACCACCTTAGTTCACCATTTGTGAAATTTGCTAATTTTTATTTGTTTTATATTACACAGCGGGGCACTTTATGGCAATGTGGAGTCCACCAAATACTTTGTACTGACATTAGCCCAAAGGATCAACTTAAAGTGCATAAAAAAAAAGTTCAAGTTCCAGTCTTTACCCTTCAGAGCAGCATTTTATACTTTTTCAGAGCCAGGACCCATTCCTAACACCAATTTATAATGTGGTTATGATTTTTATCTAGTAATTTTACCTTCACACGTCCATTTGAAAGCTGCTTTATAGCAGATCAAATCGTTGACCTATTATAGTTTCAGTTTTGTTTACATTGTTGGGAAATAACTCTCCTAGGTTTCAGGCAGGGAATTTTTTCAACCCTTCCTGGACTGAGATTTGACTTCTTGCATGCACAGCATGTCTGCTAAATTCAAACAATGTGTCTTTCCCCATCTTCTTCCCTTTTAAGAGCCAGGAGGACTGGTTCCTATGCATCCAGGGGAGGCAATCACATTGGCAAAAGGCATTTTTGGAAATGTTTGGAGATCAAGTAGTGGGAACACTCAAAAAAATGCTCTCTGCAATTGCACTAGGACCTTTGTGGACTCAAAGGCACTGATGCAAATAAACTGCTAGAGGTTGATGCTTTGCTTTTTATCTGTATCAAAGGGGGCCTTCTGGCAGATACTGGACATGATGAATTTCTCCCTTTTTTCAAAACTTGTTTAGCAGGAAAAAAAACTGGTTTTTTTTGGTTGGCTACTCTATTCTTCATTTTCTCTTTTTGTAACATTTTTATTTCAGTACATGCTAGTATAACTGGTGCAACTTTGCTTAACCATACTGGTTTCATTAATAATGCAGTTCTAGTCCCTTTGCAAATAGTACTGTATTGGTAGAAGTAGAAACAATTCTGGTGCAAGCAATCCTGGATTTTGTTGCTTAACTTGCAACATTCATAACATAATTTTTAAAAAGATTTCTCCAAGGCTGAGAATTTTTTTTTAATAATAAGCCAGGCTCTGAATGATTTGCTCTGTTCAAT